TTCGAGTGATCGGTTTATGTTGGAAATTTTTTGAAAAACACACGAATTTCTAATCAATGATGGGAGAATTGTGCAATAAATATAATCAAAAAAACTAAACAACATGAACTGTGACCTGGAATGAAAAGTAGATTTCCCCAGCCACAAAATGCCTTTTCTGTAGCAACATGACGGTGAAATTAAACACATTGTTTGGTCGAATTTTGAAATCAATGTTGGCACCATTCCTCCATTCCTCACATTCCTCCATGGATAATAGTTCCAATTCCTCAATGTCATATATATATATATATAAAATTTCTCCCAGTTATAGCTTCTTTTTAAAGCAATCTTGCGGACATCCTTTATAAACACAAAAAGTACTGTAGAAAGAATTCATTGATAAATGATCTGTAAAGCTGAACTCCAGCCAGGGCCACAATCAAAACCATTATCATTAGATGAAGGTCCTTCCTTACCTGCTGCACAAAATTGTTTGCAAGCTGACCTTTCACTTTTAAAGTGGTTGTAAAGGAAGAAGAATTTTTACCTTAATGCGTTCTCTACATTAAGGTAAAAGAACATTCTGTAATCGGCTCCGCCTGAGCCCCCTAAATACATATCTGAGCCTGATATCAATCCAGCGCTGTGTCCAAGAACAGCAGCTCTCCCTCGAACTAGACATGGAGGCAGCAGCAGAATCCATTGGCTCCTGTTGCTGTCAATCACAGCTTGTGGGGCAGAGAGTGGGGGGCATGGCCGAGCCACGCTGTGTCTATCAATAGACACACAGAACTTGGCTTGGGGTCGAGCCTGCACTCGTGACCCTATAGCAAGCAGCTTGCTATGGAGGCACTCAGAAGGGCCCGGGAGGAGCCAGGAGCACCAGTGGGGGACCCCAGAAGAGGAGAATCATGGCCTTTCTTTGCAAAACCATTGCATACAGAGCAAGTATGTATAACGTGTTTGTTATTTAAAAAATAATAATTTTACCTTTACAATCAGTTTATAGTTTGTACCTCCATGTTTTCAATTTTCCTAGTGATGCCCCCTATTCTTCTTCATGCATTATTGCATCCCTGTTATTTCACTATGGAGAAATGGTTTCCCAGACCATTCAACCTCCAGCGCGTAGTTTACTGAAGGTGAAGGGCTGATGTCACCACTCCCTTTGTGGATGGGCACAGTCTCTGCAGTCCACCCCACATGGGAGTTGGAAGTGGAAAAAGATCGGGATAGTGAGTTCAGCTTTAATTACTCGCACTAAACATACACTGTAAACAATCCTAACATACAACTGAAATGATAAATATGGAGCTAGGAGGCCCTTACCTTTACCACTGATGATTAGTCTGGTTCCTCCTCCATACTGAATTTCATCTTCATATTGGTTGTCACCTGCACAGAGTTTGACCACCACAAAGCAGTGAAATGAAGTATTGTCTGCTTTCATCACATTCTTTATCATTAGATCAGTCATTCCTGTTATGTTTGTCCGATGTCTATATGCAGAATGAACCATTTCCCGGTAGGGGTGGTAGGCCGTACGGTCCGGTTTACATTCCCCCACCCTCCAGTATACATTGACCCGCACAACATCTCTCTCTGTATACCGACCACTAGGAAGGGTTGTAGGAGCAGGTAAGGATCACCGAACGTCCTTCTTGTACTGAGATCCCAGTAGTCGGCTGATCCCAGGATGATTGGTTTAATCTAAAAAAAAATTGAAGAAATAAACCAATCCACATATGTGAAACAGCAAAAATCCAGGCCTGGTTTTACCTAATGGAAATCTAATCTTTAGATCTTGTGTGCCTCCATATTTTATTTTTAAGCAAATCCAACCCCAACCATTTTATATAGTAAATAATAATACAAAAACAGAAGTTTGTTTTTACTAATCTGCGGTTTACATTAGGATAATACCCTGTAATTCTGCCAAAAAGGCTGTTGTTGAGATACTTTCTTGTTATAGGTCTATCCTGGATGAGGGTGCGTTTGCCCCATTTGGCCAATTGATGAATCTAAAATATAACCTTTATTCAAATGTACAACAAAAAATGTATGCTCAGCTGTAATGAATGCCTATTGGAGTGGAACGTAACTGCGCACAATATAACTGGATACCCTTGCAATTGTTTACCTTACATCCAAATGGTTAATAACCCCCGACCAAAATCAAATACCATACCGTTTTAGATGAAGTGACCGGCATACAAGGAGGTTCTGTAGTTTGATCACAAGCCTATCAGCTTGAATATATAATCTCTGTTAAGGAAATGGAGTTACCCCCCATGGACAAACTAATTGAATAGGATAATCTATCCTGCTACAGATATGTAGTAAGGGTACACTCATCCACGGGCTCAAATGTCAGCCTCTCATGGAAAAGCCCCATACATCACCATATCCACCAAAAATACCTCACTGGCTTGAGGAATGCAAATGATGCACTATAAAAACGCAGTACAGACCTCTCCAAAAAAAAAGGGGGGGGGGGGGTAGAAAGGAGTGCATTCAAAAAATGCATTCTTTGAATAAAGGTTATATTTTAGATTCATCAATTGGCCAGAGATGGTGCGTAGGGAAACACACCAACAAAAAAATATTCCACTTTAAAAAATAAAGATTTGAACAAAACGCAAAACCTCGAAAAAAAATGCATCAAAACTGCATGTAGAAAAACACAAAACAAACTGCGAAAAGCACTGCAAAACAGACAAAAAAAACTACCTCTTAACCTGTTCTGTGTCTACATAAGAAATTAGAAGGATGACAACCTTCTAACTTGCCGCTGGGGAGAGGGGGAAGGGAGGGAGGCAAAATGAACTGATAGGAAAAACCATAATTCTGCTGTACATTTTAAGGATGAATTATTCGACAATGCCTGCAGCTACAGAGGTCACTAGTTTCAAGGCACATTTCTCACTTATCGATGCTAGTTAGAATACATAAGCCTTTGAATGTCCACTCCCCGGCCACAGTTCTGTATTAAAGCCTGCTGTAGTCTTTTCAAAACCATTAAAAATCAGATCAGTCGTGTTAAAAATAAATAAATATATACATACTGCTCAAAAAAATTAAAGGTAGACTTTGTAATCCGAGTCTAGCATCAAGTCAATGAAACTCCTGGGATATTGATCTGGTCAGGTAAGTAGCAGAGGGGGTTGTTAACCAGTTTTTCATTGCTTTGGTGTTTAATGAAATTAACAACAGGTGCACTAGATGGGCAACAGTGAGACGACCCTCAAAACAGGAATGGTTTTACAGGTGAAGGCCACTGACATTTTTTTCCCTACTCATCTTTTCTGACTGTTTTTCACTAGTTTTGCATTTGGCTAGGGTCAGTGTCACTACTGGTAGCATGAGGCCATACCTGGACCCTACAGAGGTTACACAGGCAGTCCAAATCTAACTTAGCAAAACTAGCTATTTTTAGTTTTTTGGGTTTTTTTTTGTATTGCTACCTGTGAGTGGTCACAGTGATCACATGGTACAGACTGGGCCAATCACATCCCATCTGTACTATGCGATTAGCTGTGGCCAATCACAGCTAATCACAACAATACACACTGTTTCATTCAGTTAAAAATGGTTGCTTTTACCAGTGAAATTCACTGATATGAGTATTCATAATGTGTAAAAAAAAAAACCACTCCTGATCACTTCATTAGAGTAGTGAATGGACCTCTTGTAATACTGTATGGATCTGGTCACAGTGTGTTAACAAAAATTGTTAAATAAATTAATTTTAAAAAATGGGGAAAAAAAAGTAGCACTACCCTCGTAAGGGCCACTGTGTTTCTAGATACCTCTACGCTCTGCACAGCCAGGCAACACACATTTTCCACACTTGCTTCCATAGTCCAGTGAGCAGTCCATGAGCTCGGTTTTTGTTATTTTATTAGGGGAAATAGATTGGATAGGGCAATGGGGGTTTTGAGATGCCCAATTTCACTGAGTCAATGCACAGGGATAACTTCCTTCCTATTTACAGAAACAGATCCTGGACTGTTCTGTTCCTTAAATGCGGCCAGTCTTTGCAGATCAATTGCCCAGAGGTATATGTATGGGTTGATTCCTCTGGGGTAGATGGGATAAACTATAGGGCGTGTAAATTGGGATGGAGAGTATCCAGGACGGGTGACAGCATAAGGCTGCTTTGGTTGTGGCAGGCAGAGTCACTTTTTTCTTTTTTAATTTGGGGGGGGGGGGCAATTTTTTTGTGTTGCCTAGGGCAGCACAAAAACAACATACATCACTGAGTAAAACAGCACACAGGTAACCCTTTGATCACCCCAGATGTTAACCCCTTCCTATCCAATGTCATTAGTACAGTGTCAGTGCTTTTTATTTGCACTGATCACTGTATTGGTGTCACTGGGGATGTCAGTGGCAGTTAGTCAGTTCTCCCCCAGTGTCAGAATTCCCGCCGGAGTCCCGCTATAAGTCGATGATCGCTGCCATTACTAGTAGAAAAAAAAAAAAATCCAGTATCTATACTGCCAGTTGTAAACGCTATAACTTTCAAATAAAACCAATTAATTTACATGTATTGGGATTTTTTTTTTAGCAAAGACACGGAGAAGAAGAATACATTTTGGCCTAAATTTTGACGAAATTTGATTTTTAAAATTTTTAACTAGATATGTTTTATAGCAAAAAGTCAAAAATATTGCTTTCTTTTTCACAATTGTCTGTCTTTTTTTGTTTATAGCGCAAAAAAATAAAAATCGCAGCAACAAACAAATACAGGATGTTTGATCCTGTCTTCTCTGCCCCTCCTCTTGTTCAAATGTTCATGCTGATAAGACAGACTCAACCCCTAGCCTTCTGCACATGCTGTTTGTGTGTATTGCTAGATAGGTTTTTCATTTTTTTTCATGGGAGAGTGCATGTGATCTGTCTGGACAGTTCTGATTGGCCCTGTGCTGAAGTCAGGGGTTCTGCAACCTCCTAGAGCAGAAAGAAAACTCCTTCTACAAGCTTTAACCAGTGCTCTGCTGGACACTCATTGAAGTGACAAGACTATATATATACTGCTGATGAGAAAAGGTATTTAGCAGTTTATATTTACTAAAATAATTGCACTTCCATGTTGCGTGTACTGTGGGAGAGCAGATATAGTGAATGCAGGGTCCTGGGAGACCAGATATAGTGAATGCAGGGTCCGGGGAGAGCGGATATAGTGAATGCAGGGTCCGGGGAGACTGGATATAGTGAATGCAGGGTTCGGGGAGAGCGGATATAGTGAATGCAAAGTCCGGGGGAAGCAGTTATAGTGAATGCTGGGTCTGGGGAGACCGGATATAGCGAATGCAGGGTCTGGGGAGACCGGATATAGTGAATGCAGGGTCCGGGGAGACTGGATATAGTGAATGCAGGGTCCGGGGAGACCAGATATAGTGAATGCGGGGTCCGGGGAGACCAGATATAGTGAATGCGGGGTATGGGGAGACCAGATATAGTGAATGCAGGGTCCGGGGAGACCAGATATAGTGAATGCAGGGTCCGGGGAGACCAGATATAGTGAATGCAGGGTCCGGGGGGGAGACCAGATATAGTGAATGCAGGGTCCGGGGAGACCAGATATAGTGAATGCAGGGTATGGGGAGACCAGATATAGTGAATGCAGGCTCCGGGGAGACCTGATATAGTGAATGCAGGCTCCGGGGAGACCTGATATAGTGAATGCAGGGTCCGGGGGGACCAGATATAATGAATGCAGGATCCTGGGGAGACCAGATATAGTGAATGCAGGGTCTGGGGAGACCGGATATAGTGAATGCAGGGTCCGGGGGGAGACCAGATATAGTGAATGCAGGGTCCAGAGAGATCAGATATAATGAATGCAGGATCCTGGGAGACCAGATATAGTGAATGCAGGGTCCCGGGGAGACCAGATATAGTGAATGCAGGGTCCGGGGAGACCAGATATAGTGAATGCAGGGTCCGGGGAGACCAGATATAGTGAATGCAGGGTCCGGGGTTTAGTAACACTTTACATAACATGCTTGTGGGATGCCTGTAAGCTGCATGTGCTTTTCATGGTCCATGCCTATCAGAATTTGGGGGTGCTGTACAAGGAAGGGGGGCAGCCAAGCCTCTCATGTTGCAAGGCACCTTATCCCACAGTTGAAGAATCCCTCCTTTCCTCTGGGACATTGCATTCTGACAACAGAATTTGCTGCTCGGATCTATGGGTGCAGTAACTCTACAGGGTTAGGCAAAAACTTCTGACTTTCTCTGACTTATCTCTCCGGCGTATCTCTTCTGGTTTAGTGAGTCAGAAAATCTGACGCCAACGGCTCAGCATAACAGTGAGGCTGCTGGACTGGCAGAGCGGTCAGCAATGGCATCCTCTACTGTTCTCTGTGTTAGTACAATGTGTGCTATGGTTTACCTGCAATGATCAGCCTTGTAAACTGTTCGCTTCGCAGTGATTTTTGTGCGCTAGAGACAACACAGCAATAACTTCGATGATGATTTAGATGAATATTATGAATATGCAGCGAGATGTCTTGGGTGAAATTGACCAGAGAGTACCAGCCCTCTTGATGTGATCCATTTGTTCGGAGTACGGGTGTATGAGTACATATGTTAGTTGCTCTGTCTGCAAAATACCAGCTGACAAATGTAATCTTCGTGGTGTCCTTGGAGTAATAACACGGGATGATGACCTCTTCTCCTGAAACAGCCATCAGTTCATCCAGCTGAGTGACGTATTCTGTATCTGAACAAAGAAAATTTGTTAGAGGGGGTATATAGGTACAGTTGTGTTCAAAATAATAGCAGTGTGTTGAAAAAAGTGAATAAAGCTCAAAATCCTTCTAATAGCTTTTATTTCCATCCACACAAATGCATTGGGAACACAACACATTCTATTCCAAATCAAAACATGAAGAAAAATAGATCAAATTTTGTGTTGTTCCTCTAAAAAAAGTGAAGAAAAGGGAATATTAGACGGTTCAAAAAAATCGCAGTGTTTGTATTCTTCTTTACAAACTCAAACATTCACTATATAAACTGAAAAATGTTTGAAGATTTTGCTTTCCTTTGAATGACTTCATGAATATTTGGTTGTAGTCGCACTGTTTCTGAGAACTGCTGTACATCTGTGTTGCATGGAGTCACCCAACTTCTGGCCCCTGTGATCAGGTATTCCAGCCCAGGATGATTGGACGACATTCCTCAGTTCTTCTCTATTTCTTGGTTTTGCCTCAGAAACGGCATTTTTGATGTCACCCCACAAGTTTTCTATTGGATTAAGATCCGGGGATTGGGCTGGCCACTCCATAACGTCCATCTTGTTGGTCTGGAACCAAGATGTTGCACGTTTACTGGTGTGTTTGGGGTCGTTGTCTTGTTGGAACACCCATTTCAAGGGCATTTCCTCTTCAGCATAAGGCAGCATGACCTCTTCAAGTATTCTGATGTATTCAAACTGATCCATGATCCCTGGTATGCGATAAAATAGGCCCAACACCGTAGTATGAGAAACATCCCCATATCATGATGCTTGCACCACCATGCTTCACTGTCTTCACAGTGTACTGTGGCTTGAATTCAGTGTTTGGGGGTCGTCTGACAAACTGTCTCCAGCCACTAGACCCAAAAAGAACAATCTTACTTTCATCAGTCCACAAAATGTTGCGCCATTTCTCTTTAGGCCGGTCAATGTGCTCTTTGGCAAATTGTAACCTCTTCAGCACATGTCTTTTTCCCAACAGTGGGACTTTGCGGGGCTTCTTGCAGATAGCTTGGCTTCACATAGGCGTCTTCTAATTGTAACAGTCCTCACAGGGAACGTCACACCTTCTTTCATCTTCCTGGAGCTGATTGTTGGCTGAGTCCGCGCCATTTTGGCTATTCTTCTATCCATTCCAATGGTAGTGTTCACTTTCTTCCAGGTTTTGGTTGCCATTTTAAAGCATTTGCGATCATTTTAGCTGCAGCAGCCGATCATTTTCTGCACTTCTTTATATGTTTTTTTTTCCCCTCTCCAATCAACTTTTTAATCAAGGTACGCTGTTCTTCTGAACAATGTCGGGAACGACCCATTTTCCTCAGAATTTCAGAGAGAAATGCACTGTAACCAGCATGTACAACATTTACTGCCTCCCTTCCTTAAATAAGGGCAATAATTGCCACCTGTTTTTCAAAGAATGAATGACCTCACTAATAGAACTCCACACTGCTAGTATTTTGGACATGCCCCTTTCAATGAGTGATTCAATGACACAGAATCAGCAGCATGCATGTCATGACTGTTGGGTCTGTTGGATTTCTATTACTCTACTACACCTGCTAGGAAATTATTTGCCATGTAGAGATATCATTTCTACCAAAAACAGTGATTGATCCGGTTAGTGATGTCTGACTGCTATTATTTTGAACACAACTGTAGCATATTGTTTATAGAGCTCAATAGCTTAAAGTGAAATGCACACACACACAAATGAGCAAAAACTCCTCCTCTTCCTTGCACTGTAAATTGATTAGAATATATATATATATATAGAGCGCTATTTTTACACACTATTTTCGGCTACTGGGGTGTGATGGATTCACGTACCTTACTTGTGAGCCTGACGGCAGGAGGAAGGCCTCTCGTACAGCTCCGGCTCGAGGGCCACTGAAGGTGGAACAGCAACCACAAGAGCACAGCGGGGTATGAGTGCCTGTTCAGTCCTGTAGTCTGTGCAGGAATTGCTGGCACTTCGCTGGGAGATGGAATGGCAGAGAAAGCTGGCAGCAGAGCAGGCAGGCAATGAAACAAGCTGCTAGCAGACTGTATGCAGGGTCAGACAGGCCGGGTCGGTAACAGATAAGCAGATCAGACATGAACGGCAGGCAGAAGAATGGTCGGGTCACAAACCAGGGTCAGTGTTGGTGAGAGCAGATCAGGCAGAGTCAGAAGGCAGAGTCCAGGAAACAAGCTGGGGTCAATCACAGGAACAGGAATAAGGGAGGGGGAACTGCAGATCAGACAGCACAGGCTAATAGTGCTGCTGGGTTTAAATAGTCTGATTGGCGCCAACATTAGCAACAGGCTGTCGCGTATGTGCGTGTGCGAACGCAAATGTACACGACTATGTGTAGCAGAACGGGCCCTCGTACATCTGCGCCACTGTGCACTATGACGAGCATCTTCCTGACAGATGGCGTCACCTGTATGTATTTAGGAGCAGAGTCCTTATAATCTGTGTGATCAGGACAAGATCTCTAACAAACGCTAGTGCCTCCACTCAATTGGGGATTGTGGATAACAAGTGAAATCCCAACTGAGAAATGTATCATCCACATAGACAGTAATCCACACAGCAGTGTATATGAAAGTCCATGTATTGAAGAAATTACATTCAGTGAACCATCCAACATAAAGTATCTTCCAAACAAGACCATTAAAGCATTAACAGTCTTTTTTGCATGTCTCAGTGAGGGGAGGCTGCAACACTTACAGTCTGAGCTCTCTCTCTGCCGGAAATCCCCACACCTCTCTTTTCCACAAGTGCTCGCTCTGATGACCTCATCCTCAGTGCCCAGAGAGCATAGCAGCCATATTGGAAAAGGGCAAAAGAAACACTGCATAATAGAAGTACACACTGGAAAATGGGCAAAGAAATTATTACATCACTATATATATTTAATAATAAACAAGTTATACTTACTTGCGTCTTGCAATGGAATTGTACAGAGCTCCCCAGGTCTGCTTCTTCTTGGGACCCCTGCTGGCACGCCTGGCTTCCCCTCTTCACTAAGGTGAACTTATCCTTTAAGGCAGGGAGTCTCCAAACTTTCTAAACGAAGGGCCAGTTTACTGTCCTTCAATCATTAGAGGGGACCAGACTGTGGCCAACCGGAGTAGAAAAAGTGCTGGTGTCATTGGCAGTAAAAAATGCCCCATGACTGGTGACAGTGGGAGGAATAGTGCCCCATCATTGGTATCAGTGGGGGGAATAGTGCCCCATCATTGTTATCAGTGGGAGGAATAGTGCCCCATCATTGGTATCAGTGGGAAGAATAGTGCCCCATCATTGGTATCAGTGGGAGGAATAGTGCCCCATCATTGGGGTCAGTGGGAGGAATAGTGCCCCATCATTGGGGTCAGTGGGAGGAATAGTGCCCCATCATTGGGGTCAGTGGGAGGAATAGTGCCCCATCATTGGTGTCAGTGGGAGGAATTGTGCCCCATCATTGGTATCAGTGAAAGGAATAGTGCTCCATCATTGGTTTCAGTGGGAGGAATAGCGTCCCATCATTGGTATCAGTGGGAGGAATAGCGCCCCATCATTGGTATCAGTGGGAGAAATAGTGCCCCATCATTAGTATCAGTGGAAGGAATAGTGCCCCCATCATTGGTGTCGGTGGGAGGAATAGCGCCCCATCATTGGTATCGGTGGGAGGAATAGCGCCCCATCATTGGTATCGGTGGGAGGAATAGCGCCCCATCATTGGTATCGGTGGGAGGAATAGTGCCCCATCATTGGTATCGGTGGGAGGAATAGCGCCCCATCATTGGTGTCGGTGGGAGGAATAGCGCCCCATCATTGGTGTCGGTGGGAGGAATAGCGCCCCATCATTGGTGTCGGTGGGAGGAATAGCGCGCCCCATCATTGGTATCGGTGGGAGGAATAGTGCCCCATCATTGGTGTCGGTGGGAGGAATAGTGCCCCATCATTGGTGTCGGTGGGAGGAATAGTGCCCCATCATTGGTATCGGTGGAAGGAATAGTGCCCCATCATTGGTATCGGTGGGAGGTATAGTGCCCCATCATTGGTGTCGGTGGGAGGAATAGCGCCCCATCATTGGTGTCAGTGGAAGGAATAGCGCCCCATCATTGGTGTCAGTGGAAGGAATAGCGCCCTATCATTGGTGTCAGCGGAAGGAATAGCGCCCCATCATTGGTATCAGTGGGAGAAATAGCGCCCCATCATTGGTGTCGGTGGGAGGAATAGCGCCCCATCATTGGTGTCGGTGG